AGACAAAACACAAACCAGAAATGGAAACCATAAACTAATCAAGAGATCTGAAGAATAATTTTCTTTATTTTTATATAAACACATTTTTTAACCTTATTTCTCAGACCATGATTTGCAGCCATGGCTAAAAAGAAGTTCATCATCTATCATTTCTATGGTTAGCAGGATCATAATTTAAAAAAAAACGTATAGTTCTTTTCAGGTCTAAAACTTAAATAACCCTAAGGACATATTAACACATGACATAATACAATGTTATTTAACAAAAAAGACGCCAGAATGCAGAGGCACTTTGGAATTTTGGCCCACTCTTCTTTACACGCCACAGGATTTCAGTCAGGTTGAGGTCTGGGATTTCTGTTGTAGATTCACTTACTGTTGCATGACCCAGTTTTGGCCAAGCTTTAGCTGTCGGATAGGTGACCTCACATAATTGACTCTAGAGTACTTTGGTATACAAACAAAACAAGCCCAAGTCATCACTCCTCTTCCACCGTGCTTTTTAACAGTTTAAGGTATGAGACGTTTGAGTTAATCTTATCGTATTTGCTTTTTGCCAAATGTGGTCCATTTTAGTCTCATCTGTTCAAAGGGCATCGTTCAAGAAGTCTTGTGGGTTGCACACATGCAACTTCGCAAACCTAAGCTGTCCGCCATGGTCTTTTAAAAGCAGAGGGCTTCCTCTGGCAAGCCTTCTAAACAAACTTTATGTGCGGCATAAAGTCTCCTTGGCATTGAACCAGCTCATACCTGAGTGCTCCAGACCAGAAAACTGTCAAAGCATCTGCTTTTATAGAGGAGCTTAGGAATAAAAAGCAAGGACTTAGTTTTTCCACTCACTTCTTCTACATTAAGGCTTACGTTTTGTTAAATAAATAATGATATGGTGTATCATGTCATCTGTTGTTGTTCATCTCCAGATGTGCTTACCTCATCTTAAGACCTGCGATGGACAGATTTAATATATTATGTCCTAATGTGCAAAACCTTAGTACAACACAGGGGTTGTACAGTCATTTTACAATGACTGTGTATACACTCTGTGTTTAAAACACAGTTTTAATTAAAACCTAAAGTGAGGTTAATGATT